CAATAGAAACTGTGAAACCATTGAGTTGTATGTTATTAAAAGGTCTGTGCATAGGAAAGGAGAGATAAACTGGATAATAATGCTCTACTCTAGTGAAAATTCTTTTGCAGTGTATTTCTGGTCTTTGCATCAATCGTAGGAAAAGCAGTTTAACAGGTATTAACCTGGTGGAAAGCTTAGTGAGTAATCTTGAGGCGGCTATTGGTCGATATCATTTATCTTAGCCCCTTATTTATTTAGGTGTTCTGTTCGGGTGGGAACCCAAGAGCTGATCCTTTCTAGGATGAATTTGTTAGTAGGATCTCTAGGCAGCTTGACCATTGAATATGTGGTATTTTCTCCAGATGGTAGAGTTACTTTCATCCAGTCGTATCTTTCTAGCATCACTTTGCATTTCATGTCCCTGTTTAGAATTCCTATGAGGGTGTAAGGGAGAAATGAGAAAGTCATGAGAGATGTCTTGTGATCGAGCCAAGGAGATCTTTTTGTTTATCAAAAAAATAAAAAGCATGATGTACATTAATTACATGCACTAAACGGGTGCAAATTCCATGTGCAAAAGAATTTATGTCAGTTAATATATCAATTAGATAGCCTAGGTTCTCTATGGAAGACAGTTACTGTTTCCAAATCAGCATCAAGTGAACAAAAACATCTCTCTAGTTTTGTCAATATTTTCCTCTACACCCTCAAAAACTCTCATATTTCTTTCATTCCCAACAACTCAAAACATTGTCATAGGAATAAGCCCCAAATATTTTTTCTTTCTCAAAATACTCTTCCACGTCCAAATTTCTGCCTTGACCGTACTGGCCATGGCCCAATTGTACCCCAAAATCCCCAACACAGTAGACCATAGCTTCCCTTTTCCCTTTAGGTTGGTTCGAATTAATTGAGACCACCTCGAATAGTCTTTTGCTATGAACTAATAAACAAGCTGAATTGGCAAAAATTCATAGGTGGAATTTTTTATGAGGATATATGCTTTAGTATTTTTGAGATATTACCTTCGATATGCTTTAAAAAATGAATGATAATTAATGTCGAAAATAAAAAAAATTATCAGAAAGATTTTAACTGGAACATGCAGCTGCGTGAGGACAATACTGGCTCTGTACTGACTCAACACACTGAGTCAACTCGGACTAGGTGCTCACTATGTTAACCCACTGAGTCAATTTAAAGAACCCATTGAGTCAACTCGGCGATTCCTTGCCTTCCAAGTATAGTGGCACGACAGACGGATCAAGGTTAGCCGTGATTGCACACTAGTGTATTTCGCATCTAGTTCTGGCACGTGTCTGGTTCTGTACTAGTTTCGGCACTCACGTATTTGTTGAAGTTGTGAGCCGCGTCTGCTTCACAATAGAGAGTTGTGGGGTAAGGTTTAAAGCAATGAAGGCCAGAGTAGGGGCTGGAGTCCGGCCAAACAGGGACGTGCACATAAGGTGGTCTACGATTGGGGTCTGGTGGCTATAGGGATCAGCGGGTGATTTGCACTGCTTTTGGCCATTTGGTTTTGAGGCTGGTGGCATGCAGCTGGAGTCTGGCTACTATAGGATCGACGGCTGATATGGACTACTTTTTTGGCTATGTGGCTGGAGCCGGCAATGAAGGCACTGGGTTTTTACATTGGTAGCCGATGGCCAAACAGTGGTGGTCGGCTATGAAGGCCAACCCTCTTAGGGTTTTGTCTTATTTCATCAATGAAGACAAATTAGGATTTGTGAAAGAAAAAATCTAGAATTTTTTTCCAAAAGCTTTGATACCATGTTAAGAATAGTTTTTTTAATTGATGTGTGTTCTATTGAATATTATAAACCTATATATACAAATTTTTCATGACAGAAAAAAATAGACAATTTATTACAATCAATTATAAATAATATAATTTATCCTTATACCCTTTAGGCTGATTTGCTTCATTTTTAATATCTTGATTTACTTCTTCTTTAACACTTACAAGTAAACAAATCAAAAGGTTCAAGGGTCCATAATCGGTTATATAGTTAAAAAGTAACATTTACGGGTTCTCATATGTTTAGCCAGATTAAAAAATAAAAAGTCTCCATATCATATAGATTACGACTTAAGTGGAAATTCTAAGATAGGTTTGCCCCAATATTAACTGTGAAACTAGAGACATGGGCAACGTGTCAAAGGTCCATAATCGGTTATATGGTTAAAAAGTTACATTTACGGGCTCTCATATGTTTAATAAGATTAACAAATAAGAAGTCTTCATATCAGATAGATTACGACTTAAGTAAAAGTTCGAAGATAGGTTTGCTCCAATATTAACTGTGAAACTAGAGACATGACCAACGTGTCTAGTGAACAATTGGTCCAGCCTTGGAAATTTTGTGGCCAGCAGTTGATTCTCCAACTATATACCTTTCCCAAAAAAATTTTCGCCTCAGAGGCTTGCAGGGAAAGCATATTAACCTTGGATAAACTGAAGTCGAGGGGTATTACACTTGCAAATGGATGTTTCATGTGTCTTAGGGATGAGGAAAATTGCCGCCACCTTTTGCTTAGATGTCCTTTTGCTTCTGAGTTGTGGAGTTTGGTATATGGCTTACTTCGCATTTGTTGGGTCCCTGCTGGATCGATTGAGGATGAAATACAGGCTTGGGAGGGTGTTGGACTAAAAATAGAAATTGTGAAACTCATTCCCCTATTCATTTTTTGGATTTTATAGAAAGAGAGGAACTTGAAAGCTTTTGAAGGAGTTGTGAATAATATAAACAAGTAAGAGAGAGATGGTTCAATTATTTTGGCTTTCTTGCACTAGGTCATGACATCAGCAAGACTGAGGATTTTGGGGATGTCCTTGATATAGTAACTAATTTGTAAATCTCTTATAAATGAGTTGATGCGGAACCCCAAGATTTTTGTTTGAACCTTAAAACTTTTCAATCGATTTAGAACAGAATTTAGATCACAAGTAAAAAAGAAATCAAATTTATTCAATCACCCAAATGGTAAAAGTTAAAGAGAACCTAACAAAGATAAATGATATCCCTTGAACCCAATCCAAACAAGCACAAAAAACAATTGAAATAGAAAATCAAAATTGAAATACAAGTGATAACAATTGTATTACAAATCAATACCTTGTGCATAAAGTGAAAAGAAAACCAAAACACTCTCAACTCAATTCTGAAATATTNNATTCTTGGGTTCTCTTTAACTTCTACCATTTGGGTGATTGAACAAATTTAATTTTTTTTTTTACTTGTGATCTAAATTCCGTTCTAAACCGATTGAAGAGTTATAAGATTCAAGCAAGGGTCTTGGGGTTCCGCATCATGAGTGGTACCTCCTCTTTTTTGATACTATACTAATATAGTTGAAATACTTTTTCTTTCAAAAATATATATTTATATCTTTCCCAAAAAAGAGCTATAGTACCATTTCCCATTTGTAATTACATGAGTGGGTTGAACAAAGGTTAGATTTGGGAAATGGCTTTTCGAGAACTTAAATAAGCCGTGGATATTTCTGCGAGGACATCCCAAGCGTCCATTTTATTTCTATGGGATATTGTTAATCACCTTGTGTCATAGAGAGCTTGGTTCATGAAGAAAGTGCCATAACCATTTTGCTACGAGCTCTAGTAACTATTTCTGGAAGGTATACCATTCCTCTAAGATTAAGAATTTTTCTAGGATGGTTGTCTAAACAAACTTAATAATAATGACGAATTGCAAGTTCATAGGACTAATCATGTTCTCTCTCCAAAGATATTTGTGATATGTTTTAAATTCAATGAACTTGGACACCTTTTCCTTCCTTGTGATGTAGCGTGGAAACTTTAGGTGATGCTCTTCAACACCTTTTTGTTTTCTTGGGTTTGTACCTCTTCCATTCAATGTTTTTGAGGTCTTAATTGAAAGGAAATGGAGTGAGAAATGAGATAAGGATGCTTTGTAGAGCTGTCATGTTTGCCAGGTTGTGGGTACTTTGGTTGGAGGGTAATGAGAGAAAGAAGTTTCAATATTAGAAACAGCCAAAATTTGAAATGCTTAAACCTAGTGCTTTGGTCTTTGTTTATTATTCACAATAGCAACTTCATAGATCTTATTGGTCTTTATCCTTAATTTCTACTTTTGACTTCTCTGTCATATGAGCATCAGTCATCATTCTTACCACATTAATTTCATTTCTGTCTTGCAGCATGTTTAGAATAAATTAATTCTATACTTTTTTATGGAATTCATTTGTTCTCAATATAGCCTTATTAATTCTATCAGTCCCAGCTTAGTTGATGTTTTTAGCCTTAAACCCAGTACAAAATCACAGAAAAGTTTGTTCCATCTGTTCTGCAGCCTTATTATTCGGTAAACTATTCTGTTTCAACTGGACCGGATTATTTTTTAATAAAAAATTGGTATTCCCAATACAATCCTATATTTGTCATCATATAGAACTATCAAGCAGATGTTTTTACTTTACATGGATCGCTTGATTTTTTCCAGACACATCCACGGGGCAGAAGTTCCTTTAATTTTTATGGGAGAAGAGGCTTCAAAATTGTTTTGAACAATATAAGACAGAGAAACTGCTTACCAAAAAAGCAAATGAAACGCACAAGCTTCTAATCAATAAAGGCCCAGCATCATGATTCTGAGACATGGCAGGCATCAAGTTCAGGG